GCAGTCATCACAGATACAATGTAGTCATTCGCTCATCCTCAGGAGTTTGTGCAGTCATCACAGATACAGTGTAGTCATTCGCTCATCCTCAGGAGTTTGTGCAGTCATCACAGATACAATGTAGTCATTCGCTCATCCTCAGGAGTTTGTGCAGTCATCCACAGTCACTCTCGCGACATTTTCTTCTCGCACTCCTTGCTGTTAGCTCTCCATTTCCCTCCTCTCCTTCCATACCCCCAGGCCATTATCAATCCGGTGACTGCCCCTATAGATCTACCTGTCCTCGATTTCTTACACCGGAAGTCTTGCAAAACACAAACAAGAAGCAAACAAACAAAGCCAACAACAATGACTAGACACAACATGACATCAGTGTTTTCATCGCCATCAGTTGATATTCACAGTCTACCTTCAGTGTACATGAAAGTGCATTCTTTCCAAGCAGAGGCTCCATGTGCATCCGGGTCTCACTCCCTCACTCACTGGCCTGACAACATCGATGCTGACTCACAGTGACCTGCCCCCGTCAACAGAGAACTCCTTCCAAAATGACATAGCCAAACCATAGCCATAACCAGAGTCACTGCCATCAGTCGATGCCGACTCACAGTGACCCCATAGGACAGGGTAGAACTGCCTGGTGAGTTTCCAACGCTGTAACTGTTCGGGGAGTAGAAAGTCCCATCTTTCTCCTGCGGAGTGAACTGGTGGTTTCAAATTGCCGACCTTGCAGATCACAGCCCAACTCGTAAGCACTACGCCACCAGGGCTCCGGGTAGAAACCACATAAGCGAAATCCACAGACTTTCCAGAGTGCCTGTCAGCCCGTGCCCGCTCGCCGAGGAAAGACGCAGCCCGCTAGTGGGAAGGGCAGAACAGTGTACGACGGGCCAACTCCAGAGTGTGTGGATGGCGCTCGTGGAGATGTGTTTCTTGGGACGTGGAGGCTGAGCGTGGGATCGATGGGTTGGCTAATCATTGGCTTTGGCTGGCTGCGTCATTGCCTTTCTGATCTTCCCTCACTCCCAGGCCTTCCTCCGGTGGCTGCCATCTCTGAGCCCCAAGCACATCAATGTCGTGGTGACCGGAAAGGACTGCCTGACAGCTGGCTTGGTCAACATCGTCAGCTTCGACCTTCTTAGCAAGTTGGAAAAGCAGATTAAAACTCCTTTTAAAGTTGTCATCATTGTAAGTGACTTGGCCCAGGCTTCAGTACTTTCTAGCTCTGTGGAAGCTTTCTCCCTAGAAGCTGACAAATCCTCAGATCTGGTCAGGCTGCCTGTCCAGGTTACCAACGAACCCTGTTCTGAATCTCCTAGCTTTTAAGAAGAATCTGTAGGTGAGTCGAGACAGGCACCAGTGCTTCTCATCTAGCCCTCGCGTGGGCTAGAAGTGCACCCAGTGAGGGACATTGTGTCGGTGACTCTCGAGGCTCTGGAACGTCTGAGTGTCATGTTTGTTCGTGCACAGAACGCAGAGCCGCAAATGATCTCCTTGTTCTCAGCACAACCAGCGAGCCTTTTACGGAGAATCCTCTTCCTTTCTCTTGACTCACTCCTCACGGTGAACATGGAATGTTGTTAGTCGATTCCAACCCGCAGTGACCCTGTGTACAACAGAAGGAAACACTGCCCGGTCCAGTGCCGCCCTCACAATTGGTGTGTGTGAACCCATGGTCACAGCCACAATCCTATTGAGGGGCTTCCCCTTTCTCCCCTGTCTCACTACTTCACCAAGCACGATGTCCTTCTCCAGGGACTGGTCTCTCCTGATGACTTGTCCACAGTGCCTGAGATGAAGCTGCGCCAGCTGCGCCCTCAGGAGAGTTCTGACTGGACTTGTTCCAGGACAATCATGGGGCTTTCCATGTTCTCCCCCAGCACCATGATGCAAGCTCCGTGACGCGTCTGCCTCTTCCTTATCCATTGTCCAGCTTTCACATGCATGTCAGATGATCGAAAACACCCTGGCTTGGGTCAGGCACGCCTCCCACCTCAAAGCAACCTCCGTGCTGTTCAACACTTTAAAGAGGGCTTGTGCGGCGTTAGATTGAACCTGCAGAGGCACCTGATAAACTTGGTGCGTCTGACGTCCTTGCTGGACTTCAAGCCCTGAGGGCAGGGTCTGTCCGAGGCATCCTGGGGAGGCCTCTGTCTCTCTCCCTCCTCCCTGTGCAGACCACACAGTGGGGTTCAGTGCACATGATGGTATGAACCATAATGGGGGGTGGACGGGGCAGGGGGATCACTAGCCCGACTTTCTAGGCGGACAGCTGCCCACAGAGAGAGGAGCACCTTGTCCAAAGTGGAGTTGAAGCCGTGCCCTCGGCTGCAGGAGGGGCCTGGCCTCCCGTGGGGCTCCCTTTCTGTGCTCCCGGGCTTGGGCCTTCTTCACCCACATTCTGTTTCCTTGCAGGATGAGTCTCACTTCCTCAAAAACATCAAGACTGCCCGCTGTCGAGCAGCCATGCCCATTCTCAAGGTGAGTGCTGCTGAGCCTAGGCGTGGCGCCCGGGCCGAGACCGTGGGGATTGGCGCTGGCGTCACCATGGAAACCTCTTCGAAGACATTTTACACCTCGGAGTCAACATTTTACTTCTTCAAAACGTAGCCGCCGCTCAGAGTAGCCCTGCAGCAGGCTCCATGGGGTTGCCAAGGGCTGTGAGCTCAGGCAGCGGGCAGCCAGGCCATTCTGCCAAGGGGGTTCTGTTGCAGGGTGGGTACAAAGAGGGCCCAGATTGCCCGGTCACCACTGCCCACTTACAGAAAGGACTCTAGTTTGATTTTCACATGCACAGGAAAGGAGAACTTGGGGTGGGGAATCCGCCCTCCAGATGCCCGCCTCGCCCGCCTCCCCTGCCTCGCCCGCCTCGCCCGCCTCTTTGTTCTCCCAGGCAGTAAGCACGGGCTGAGTGAAACAGGGCTTCAGACAGACACACATCTTGGAGTGGCAGGGCCGGACTGCGGAAACAGACTTTGGTTTTCACAACGGTGATGTGGTACAGAGCTTCCCTTACTAGAGACCCTACATCACAAGGAGACAGGCTGGGGCTCTAGGTTCTGGTTGTTAACGAGCAGGGAGAGAAAGATTCCTAACTCCCAGATATGAAGCACGTCTTTGACGTGGCTGGCATCCTGGAGAACCTGTGCCTGGCCGCCATCACAGGATTCTCTGAGACAGGTAGAGGGGTACAGATCAGGGCACAGCTATGGAAGATTTCTAGCTATGTCTCGACAAACTATGTAATTCTCTTAACTGTTTCTTCTTAACTGCTATATTTCCGTCCTCAAGTACTAGGGGTTGACTCTTCAAGTCCCCTGATCAGTCGTACATGGATACAAACCACCCTCCTTTTGGTTAGCCAATCTCTGCACCACCCGGGACCCCTCAGGCCTCTGCCAACAGCTCTGTGGCCCCATCCATTGCTTTCTCGAACACCCTGCCGAGGAGGGAGAGCCCAGGGCTGCCTTGCGCCTTCCTTGGAGTTGAAGGCCACCAGCTGTGACAAACTCAGACTCCTCCTCTGCCCACCTGCCTGGCTAAGGGAGAGGATCTACCTGCTCTTCCTCTAAGCCAGTGGTTCTCAACCTTGCTAATGCTGCCACCCTCTCTTACAGTTCCTCATGTTGTGGTGACCCCCAACCATAAACTTACTTTCGTTGCTACTTCATCACTGTCATTTTGTTACTCTTAGGAATTGGGGGACCTTTGTGAAAGGGTTGTCTGACCCCCCAAAGGGTTTAGAACCGCTGCTTCTAAGCTATTAGGGGGAGCTGCTTCTCTGTCCTCAAAGGCGGATGCTGGGAGTCAGGGTCCTTAGAACGGAGGGAGATGTGCAACTTCAGAACCGGACAGGTGGGTGTCTGCCAGAAGTGCTGGCAAAGCCAGGCCCCCTGAGCCTGCCTGTCAGCAGAAGGGCCAGGTCCACTGCCCATCCCGTGAGGGCTGAGCCTGGCTCTCAGTGCTTGTCAGGGCAGAGTCTGGCTTCTGAAGGGAGGGCAAGGAAGGGGCCGCTGACCAGGTTTGTCTTACCCTGAGGTCTCCTTACATGCATTGTGGCCTCTGTGCTGTCTCCTGGCTCCCGCCCCACCCCCCACCCCGCCCAAGGAGAAATTCCCAGTGTTCCTCCATCTTTCTGGAGTCTGTTTATGCTTAATACTGAAAATGCAACAACAACAAAATTCCCCTAGAAAGGTGGGTTTTTCTCTCAGGACGAGTTAGAGACCAACATGCAGGACTTGGGAGGACCCACTTTGGGTGGTGTAGACTGAGCACAGGGCAGTGTGAGCCTGTGTGGTACTCTGGGAAAGCCCCCGTGCTATAGGGCCAGCTGAGCATTCAAGCGGCAGTATCTACTTCTGAAAGGAAGCCCAGAGACTAAGGTAAATGTGCGAAACAAGCTGGGTAGATGTTGACCGAGCTCAGCCTTGGCCAATGCATCTCATCAATCCCCATTCCCAGACCCCTCCCGCCAAAAAAATCATCATCTTCTAAGAGGGTTGTGTCATGGGCTCCAAAAATAAAATCTCTCTGCTTAACAACAACATCAACAACAACAACAAACCCTCTGTTCAAATTGCCCGCCCGGATTTATGTATTATGAGCCATTTATGGACACATCTAATTAAAGCGTTTTTCCCAGGGTTGTGACCCTGCCTTTGGGAAGCTTTGACATGTTTTCCTTAGGGGGGAAAAAAATGTTAATAGACCTTTCCCAGGTACTGTGGTCCCAATATTACACCCATAACTAAAATGTAATTGGTATCCCTGATTGTTTAGACAGCAGCAATTGCACAATAGACAGATGACATCATTAAAGTTATAACAGGAAAGCTGCCGAGCCTGGCCGTGCTAATGCCCCCATCTGTGTATGAAGCTGAGCTACGTGCTCGTCTCTAAAATACGTGCTTCCGGGCCAGACCCTTCACAGCAGCACTGGCATCTCATATCGCGGCTGGCTTTCCGGCAACACATGTTTAAAACCAGTCTTTTAACTGCTCATGCATATGCATGGATCTTTCTTTGGACAGATTCAGAGTGTCTGACAGGCCCCATGCACATCACCTGCTACCTCTGTGGGTGCCTTGAAGTCCATCTTATCCTCTCTAGCACTGACTTCACACTGGAGTGTTTGCAGGGCTGGGGTGGGAGCCGGGGCTCTGTGCTGTTTTCTCAGCCAGCCCCTCCGTCTCTCTTTATCTAGATTGGACTTTCTCTGTCTCAGCACTGCAGACATTTCAGACTTGGGTTTTGCTAGGAGGCAAATGAACTCAAAGACAGGGAGCTTGGCTTTACGGTTATCCTCTGTTGTGGAGGCTGCCCTGCATTTCAAGCTAGTCAGCACCATCCCTGACCTCTCTCTACCCACTAGATGCAACTGCTGTTGTTGGGTGCTGTCTAGTTGGTACCGACTCATTCCTAGCAACCCTCTGTACAGCAGAACAAACCACCACCTGGTCCTACCCCATCATCACAATTGTTCTTATGTTTGAGCTCATTGCTGCAACCGTGGTGTCAGTCCATCTCATCCAGGGCCTCCCTCTTTGTCGCTGCCCCTCCACTCTACCAAGCATGATGTCCTTCTCCAGGGACTGGTCTCTGCTGACAACCTGTCCAAAGTACATGAACGAAGTCTCACCATCTGCGCCTCTCAGGAGCATTCTGGCTGTACTTCTTCTAAGACAGACCTGTTTGGTTTTTTGGCCATGATACTTTTAATAGTCTTTGCCAACACCACAGTTCAAATGCTTCAATTTTTCTTCAGTCTTCCTTATTCAATGTCCAACTCTCACATGCATAGGTGGCAATTGAAAATACACTTAAGGTCAGGCACACCTTAGTCCTCAAAGTAACATCCTTGCTTTTCAGTGTTTGAAAGAGGTCTTGTGTGGCAGATTCACCCAATGCAATGTCTCATGATCTCTTGACTACTATGTCCTTGAGCTTTGATTGTGGATCCAAGCAAGACAAAATTCTTGACAACTTCAGTCTTTTCTCCATTTATTATGATGTTATCCCTTGGTTTGCGAGGATGGTAGTTTCTTGACCTTGAGTTGTATGTAATCCCTACTGAAGGCTGCCATCCTTGAACTTCATCAGCAACTGCTTTAATTCCTCCCCAGTTTCAGCAAGCCAGGTCATATTATCTGCATATCACAGGTTAATAAGCCTTCCTCCAGTCCTGATACCATACTCTTCTTCATATAATCCAGCTTTTCTGATGATATGTTCAAGATGTCCCTAGTGTCACTCAAATTGTGACAACCAAAACTGCCTCCAGACACCGCCAAATGTCCAGCTTTTCGTCCTCAGCCAGGTGAGTTCGCTATTCAGGTGGAGCTGATGTGCACCAGGGCCAGCCTTTCTCTTTTGCGAGGTTGCACACAGTGTGGACTTCATAGAGCAGCGGTTCTCAACCTGTGGGTCATTCGACCCCCACAGGGGTTGCCTAAGACCATTGGGAAACACTTATTTCCGATGGTTTTAGGAATGGAGACACCACTGCTCTGTCCGTCTCCAGGTGGGTCTGCCCACATGCAGATACACCCACATACGAGTACCCGGTGTGAAGACTGTTACCTACGCTACACCATGCTTCAAGATAAAATTCCATTTATTTGTCATTAGAAAGAGATATTTCACAATATAGAATTATATATTGTTTTTGGGATGAATCACTATACTTTCATTATGTTCAATTTGTAACAAAGAAAATACATCCTGCATATCAGATATTTACATGACAATTCATAACAGTAGCAAAATGACAGTTATGAAGTAGCAACAAACATAATTTTATGGTTGGGGGTCACCACCACACGAGGAACTGTATGACAGGGTCTTGGCATGAGGAAGGTTGAGAACCGCTGCCCTAGATCCTGTGTGCCCCTGCGCATGGATTACAGTAGACACAGTGGGGCCCAGCAGAGCGCAGCCAGGACCCCCACTTATTAATGCTGACACATTCCTCTGGTGTCCTTTCAGCTGGCCTGTTCCCTGATGCCCCCTGACCTTAGGCTGCAGCGCCCCCCTCGCTCTGCACTCTGGGAAGATTATGGGAGAAGGGACTTGGTATACCTGCACACCCAGCACAGCGATGGGGTGGGGGGGGGGGGGGGGGGTCCAAGTTTGGAAAGAAGTGCAGGTTTTTCAGGTGGAGAAAACTTTTCCTCCTCCCCCTTCCCTTGCATTGAAATGGTTTTCAGTCGTAGTTCAAGGAGCTCATTGTTATTTTAATGAGTCTGCATGAAACCATGCAGGAAATTAGAAGGCCTGGGTAATTGAACTGTGGAAAATTACAGCCGGAGAACGTCTCGCGTGCCCGCGCACTCATCATGATGGAATTGGGTAGTGGCGGCTGCTGAGGGGGCAAAAGTGCATCTGGAGAATTGCCTAGGTGGTGTATTTATCATTTGCCTTCCCGCTGTTGCACCTGGATTTATTTTTACCAGGCAACAAGTTTGAATACTGAATTCCCCACAAGCTCCCTAACAGCCCCCCCACCCCCAGGTGATTTACCTTCCACCATTGCCTTCCACCACTATCATTAACTCAAGGTCACGGTGGTTAACAAGCTGTTTCTAGACTACTGAGCTTCCAGCAGAGTTCCTTCCGGAGTGGGGGTGACTTTTACCTCCAGTGACATTGGATGATCGGCGGTTCCAGCGCAGCGAGGAGTGTCTCTCTCTCTTCCTCTCTAGTTTCCATTTCTGCACCAGCCTTCTGAGTCAGGGCATGGGGTCTGGCCTCCTTGAATGGCTCAGTGCCAGGGTAGTGAGGAGCCTGGAATTTTTTGGGTAGAAACTGAGCAGCTGCTGCTGCTGCTCACCCACCTGACTTTGGGGGAAATGGGCCCACTCCCTCCAGTCCTTATTTCACTGCAAAACGAGCTTGAACCAGGCCTCTGAGCCTGAAACACGGTGAAGCTGAGCCACCGAAGGCCTGGGTTTTCCCTGGAAAGAAAGTTAAAAAGAGGCTTAGACACCCACAGAGGAACCCTGGTGGTGTAGTGGGTCTCTCTAGCTGCGAACCTTAAGGTCAGTAGTTTGAAACCAACCAGTTGCTCCACAGAGGAAAGATGGGGCTTAAAAAAAAAAAGTCCCGGAAACCCACAGGGGCAGTTCTACCCTGTCCTAAAGGGTCCCTGTGAGTTGGCAGTGAGTTTAAGTCTTATTATCCACAGACAGTACTTCCTGAGAGGAGAGCTCAGGTCTGAGGGGTGGCGTCTGACAGCCATCCTGGAAGGAGCTCTGACGTCTTCTTGCAGTCTTCCCAGTGCCCCTTCTCCAGCGCCAGCTCCTCTGAATCCACCCCACGGCCCTCACAACACTCATTGGGTTCCCCCTGGATTGCTTCTCAGCTTCCAGGGAGCACTTCCGGATGGCTGACTTCCTGTTAGGCTTTGTACTGTACAGCATGAGCATCCACGGGGCCTACTCTTTAATCCCAAGATGCGTGCAGTCGGAAGGACAAGTGACTGCGCCTGTGAACAGTCTACAACAGGCCAATGGAAACAGGCGGCGGGCAGGGGTGAGGGAGAGGGAGCTTGTAGCTTAGGGCACAGAGCTTCTCTGACGACACTGGTGATGGCTGCACCCCGGGATAGACCCGGTGCCACTCAACGGTACCCGTGGATCCTGCCAAAGTGGCAGCACATGTTTGGCTACACGTGCTCTTACCACAGTAAACCAAGGACAGGCAGCCTCCCGTCTGGCGAGTGAGCAGTAGGAACTAAACGTCCATGTGAAGATCGAGGTCGGCAGTAGGCACCATGAAGGCTTCAGGAAGGACTTGGGAAGCGGAGGTGGCCTCTGCGCAGCCCCCCTCCCCTTCTCTGGTCACCCGAGGTCTTTTTCTCCAGTCTGGCCCCGCCGCCCTCAAGTTCAGGCACGTGCCGCACAGAGTCCTGGAAGAACCAGCCTTCGTCACCTCGCAATCCACCCTGGGTCCTGCGGGGAACAAAACCGCGCGGCCAGCAGCCAGACACCCTGCAAGTGCAAGGTGCTTGTGCTGGATACCAGGGGGCTTTGCCGTCCTGGTGGCACCCAGCTCCTGCCCCGTGGGGCAGGGCACCTCTCCTCTGTGCCTCCCCCGTGTTCTCAGCGCCTCGGGCCGTGTGTTTTCCAGGTGACCAAGAGGGCCATCTTGCTGTCGGGCACACCGGCCCTGTCGCGGCCCTCGGAGCTCTACACGCAGATCGTCGGGGTGCGGCCGACTTTCTTCCCTCAGTTCCATGCTTTTGGACTGCGCTACTGTGACGCCAAGCGGGTATGCACCCCCCACCCCCTCCGCCTTCTGGTCCTTCTCCCTGTACCGACAGAAGCAGCCAGGCCAAGG